GTGTCTTATCAAAGATTTCCTCCACGTAAAAAAAAAAAAAAAAAAAAAAAAAGTACAACTAGATAGATAATAACAGTGTTACATTCGACGAATAGATAATGATATTGAACGATAAAAATGAGATGACGATCGGGAAACTCTTCTCTCCTCCAGAGTATTACCTGGTGTAGGTGTATCAACGTATCTGTAATTTATATAAGGGTAAGATTGATGAGAAGTGTACCTGATCTCCCTTGAATCGATCTATCAACGTTACACAGACGACAGCGGACTTGATGCCCGCGTGATGTGTGAGGGCCGCGAACGAGAGACTTTCCATTTCTATATTTACTACGCCAGCCTTGTGCAGCTTGTTCAAGTACTCCATCTTGTCATTTTCCGTGAACTCGCAGAACGCGCCGTCCATGCGGCCTTGGCCTTCGTAAAAGTCGTAAGTACACATGGTTTTGCCGATTATCGTGTCGTAGGGATCGTCGCGGTGCGCCAGAGCCTTTATGTCGCGAGCTAATTGCCGGTCCAGTTTCGCAGGCCTCCTCACCATTTTCCCAAGCACAGGCTAGAAAAACACATCGTTCGCGATAGCGTTGGTGAAACATCTTTGGAAAAGTTCCAGAAAATCGACACAGATTTATATAAATGATACAATGATAATTTCATTAATGTTCTCACTTCGTCGTGTGTAATAATTTATAAAGTTTCTACTTTACTGTGAGTTTGAACCAAAATGGCCGATTCATAATTTTTGTCGGGAATTTGGTGCGATCTTTCGTAAAAGCTTGTATGACTGCGTATGACAAGGTTTCTCTGTTTTAAAAATTTCCATCACTCGAAATTAAATTTTCAAATATATATTTAAAGTATTCTTTGATCCTCTTATTTTACGGCTTAGTTTATATTTGCCCTTCTCTTTCGACGTCACTTCCGCCGTGCACACAATTAATTCGGCGCTCTTCTTTGATCACTCAAATGTTTCAGAGTATTTTTCAACATTTCCCGTGTTGCAATCTCTCTTTGCCTAGCAGTAGCAGTGAAAATAATCCACACTCTATTCTAATATTAGCTTACCAGTTCCAAGTAAGATTTCAGCATTCCATCGACCGCTTCCTCAGAGATTACCACGGTGCCACCTTCGAGGCCGATACCACCGCACGTACCAATCCTGAAGAATATCGGATCCTTCACTTTCGCATGGTACATTAGCTTGATCACCTCGTGAAGCAAAATTCCGACCGACGGTATGCCCATTCCATGCTGAACAGAAAATTTCCACGTTAACGACAATGTATCTTGACCCTCTTCATCATCCAGAACTACAAAGCAATGTCTGTAGAAATAGAATGCGTAAAAATTTCAGTAAGAAATGCCGAAGTATTCAAAAAATGGTCTTATTAAAAGAAGATAAAAATCGCGTAGCCGATCAATTTTATTTTAGAGCATTTAGGACTGGAACAATCTATGGTCATATGCTGTATGTGGTCAGTGAAAATATGAGAAAAGATATAGCTAACTGGTGTAATATAGTTAAGTCAGTAGTTAAATAATGAAGAATTCATCACCAAAGAGAAACATAATGGTAGATTTTCTCATTTCTAATGGTGCTTTTATTGTTAAACAGAAGGATCCTAATAAGAGGGCAGTTCAGAAAATCTTTTAAAATATAACAGGTACAAGTCCGTGAGATTGAGATCGTGAATAATTTGTTAAAAGTTGAAAACTATCAGTTGAAGTTTCGTCGAACGTATAATTGAGAACGAAAATAACTTAGATTAAAAAAAAAAAAAGAAACGTGAAGATTTCTTCGAGAAATCGTTGACAATTTGACGCCATGAAAGCCACACACGTCAAATTATTAGGGGGAAAAGAACGAATTGCATTTTAATATCTTTTGCAAGCGAGCCTGAACATTCGAAAACGAATGCAAAAATATTTCTAACACGCGTGTGCCCTCTAGATTTTCCTTTCTAAATTATCTTTCAAATTTATTAAAAAAAATTCTCAAGGCCTTTAACTTTAATATCGCAACTTCTTCTCGCACCGTTTGCGAAAATGAAACTCGCCACGGCTGTGCAATTTATTTTGCGTTTCACGCGTCAATCGACGTATTATCGCGTCACACGGATGATTTGCACAAAGTGTCGATGGAAAAATAGTTTGCTCGACGAACCAAGTAACTGGTGCATAGAGAAAACCATGTGGGAGAAAAGAAGCATATGATTATCGCGTAGAATGCTCGACTCGAAGCTTTACCTCCCATTGGAATCTCCAAGCTTTGTGCAAAGTAAAACTTGTTTGCTGATCGGTGTAATTATTTGCAAAACACGTTTATAATTTATTTTGCAATTTTAAACTTTCGGCTATGACTCCTTATAATTTAATATATAATTATTAATATATATATTTATATATATTTATAATAAGTTTTAAGTTTACTTCGTTTTTCTAAAACTCTTTATATTTACATGATGAATAAAAATTTCTACTTGCTGATTAAAAAATGTTCGCAGTTCCCTCTCAAAGTGTATCATAGGACACTTTTATTTTTAATATTCAGTATTCATCATAAATAATGAATTCTAATTTTTACACCTTTATTTATGTTTAAAATAGAAGATCTTGTAAAACTTTCTCCATTTTCTCATAAAAGAAATAAATATACAAGTACTTCTTTTCAACAAACTCTTTCATTAATCTTGCAAGTACAGTTTTTGCTTCAGTCTTTCTAAGAATTTTTCGCTATACCCGAAACAGAAAAGAAACGTTGCGAATAATTAGAAATAAAATCATAAATAACCTTCTATACTATTTACTCCGTCCGATTGGTTGAGTCAATTTGAAAAAGTAAACATTTACGGTTCGATAGAAAACAATCTTGAACTTCTCTCATTATTGCATAATCTGATTGTGCACATGCTCTAACCAATCGCGGAACTATAATACACCGGCTAAATTGAATCCGAGTTAACCGCGGACAAATACGGCGAAGGCACATTTCATTCGATTCCAATAAGCTTTTCAATTTCA